CGGCCGCCGCCGCCGCCGCCGCCGCCGCGGTGCCGCCTGGGAGTTGTAGTCCCGGCTGCGCGGCCTCGAGGCTCGTCCCAGTCCCCCAGCCCCCAGAGCCTCGTTGCCAGCCTCCGGTCGCAGTGGGGACGCTGCGGGGCGGAAGGAATCCTCTCGGGGGAATAAAGCTGAGGCAGTGACCTCTGGAGGTAAGGAGGAGGGGGCCAACGCTCCTCCCAGACCCTGAGGAGGCCGTGGCCCAAGGTGGGTGACTGTGAGACTGATAAGCTAAAAGTGTAAGCTGCGCGGATGGTTACTGCCCGGAGCCTCTAACGTGACGGGACGCGGTCCCTGCTGCTGGACGGTCCCTTGGGGCCTCAACCCGAGGTGCACGCCGGGAAATGTAGTTCGCTCTCGGACCCGCGCTGCACGGAGGGCGACCCCAAAGGCAGGCTTTGGGAAGCCAGTTGGTGGCTCCAGCAAGTTAGGGGGTCGGGCTAATGCCGAGGCCTCTGCGAGGAAGACCGGGCTGATAGGATGCATTTACTGGCCTTGGGGATATCACAGCCACGATTGCTTTCCCCACCAGCTCTGGGTTCTTCTGCCTCCACAGTCAGAACTCCTGCCCTCTAGAATCCCCTGCTTCCCATAATAGGAACTTTAATTTGGGGGTGCTTAATGTACATCTTGTGCTTTGCACACATGGTATCGTTAAATCTTCGCAAAGGCTCCATTTTACAGATGACGCATAGGAAAGTGAAGTCCAGGTCGAGAATTATGAATGGCAAGGCAAAAACAAACCAACAAACCAATAATCATGATTTTTAAAAAATGCTGTTTCATTTAAAGAATGAAGACACTGAGTCCTCCTGCAGTGGTTCAGTGACTTGCTCAAGGTCTGTAAACTTGTAAGTGGTAAAATTCCGGGTCTTTTCACTTGGCCTCTCTTGGTCTTTCTTGTGTGGTCTGGGGGTTTGGAGGGAGGAGAGAAAAGAGAAACTCTGGTGGGCTCTGGTGCCCTAATGCTAGAGAACTATCCCATAAGCCCTTGGGAAGTTGTTCCACTCTTAGGCGGAAGTGGGTACCTGGGCTCCTGGCTACCTGTCAGGAAAACTCTGGACCTATCAAGATTGCTCGTTGGAAGAGGGAGCCCCCTTCATTCTGAGTACAGGCAGTTCTGCTTTAAGTGCTCTCCCAAGGGTGGTTAACTCTTCTGAGGGGTCTGAAAAAGGCAATTCAAAGGTGTGTTAACCTAGATGCACAGAAACAATGGACAGGGCTGGCTTAAGGCAAAGATAACGTTTTACTAGAGGAGTCACAGGTCTGGGGCATGACTACCCACCATTACCTGCCCAGTTAGGAATTTGTGATCAGACCACCCTGTGAGGTTTCTTATGGTTAGATTTGTTACACACTCCTTTTTTATCCACATGGGAAGAGTAGAATTAGGGACAGATTGCTCAAAACATATGCAACTTTATAATCAGAGCACTCAAAACCAGTAACCATTCTAACAGAAATTACTAACACAGTTAAATTTCCATGGGCGTTTACACTTAGCAACATCTTCAGTCCCTTCTTTGCAATCTTAAAGGCTGGGGCTTGTGCATCCTCCTTGGAGATGCTGATGTAGAGATATTAACTTCTAATGGAGACCATTTTCATCACAATTAAAAATCTGATCCAAGGTGTAGTCTTCTTCATAAATCTGTTGTTTTAATATGGGAGAATATGTTGCAGTTTCTTCACCTGCATTTAAATGCAGCTTTGACCCATAACATCGTAGCAAGCGTCGTGATCTTTGAAGTCACTAAACCAGCCCCCGAATGTAAAGGAAGACATTTCTGTAGATATGCAGCTTTCCCCCTTAAGATCTTTGATTAAGAAAGCAGCTCCTTTAACTGTGAAAAAGCTGGCCCCTCTGTTGCTTCAAAACTTTAACTTCCTTGAGAAAACTGCTTGTTAACCAACATGCTTGTGTTATGCTAACATCATTACTCTGTTTACTGACCTCTTATGGGGGTGATTCAAGTCAAAGGAGCAGGTGGGCAGCAGAACAAGTGGTGTCCAAGCAGATGCCTAGACTTGGGTGAGGAAAGGGACCTGGGCTGGTGGTCAACCGGCTGGGCCTTACAACAGGAATGGGGAGGTATGAGATGGAATTTGTCAGTTCCATAAAAATATTGAGTCTTCTGTCCTTGGACATAAATATAATTTTCTTCTGGGATATCTTGTACATGTTTTCTCTGGTTTGCTCACTGATATGTTGCTGTTTTTATTTATTTGTGGCTGGGATTTTTTTTTTTCCTAATTAGTTACTGCTGTGCTTTTAATGCTGATCATGAACCTGGCTACCTTGTTGAACTCACTCTTACTTGTTCTAGAATAGCTTGACATACTTTTCTAGCTAGATGATCCTGCTGCCAGAAAAACAACAACAACAACAACAACAACAACAAGAAGACAGTTTAGGCTTTCAATCTTTAGCACTCATTCCTCACCCCTCTCCCTTTGGCTAAGAGTTCAATGCAATGTTGGATGATAGTGATGGTAATGGACGATCTTTGTGTTATTCTAGACTTTTAAAGGAATAACCCTAAGGTTTCATTAGATTTCTAGTAGAGGTTCTTTTTTTCTTTTTCTTTTTTTTTTTTTTGGTCAAAATTCACTTTATTTTTCAGCTTTACTTCATTGGGATGTGGTCACAAAATTGGCCCATACAAAAAGGACACCAATATGGGGCTAACTAAAGAAAATGCCTCCAGTTAAGTGATTGGAAGATGAAACTAACAAAGACGAACATAGAAGTTGGAGTGTTTAGAAAGTGAGTTCAAATGTTAGTTCTGCCACATTCTGTGACCAGAGAGGTGACTTATCCTATCTAAGCCTGCTTCTCATCTGTCATTGGTTTTGAGATCACTCACATTGCCGTTATAAGAGTCTGAACCTTTTGTCACTGGTATGTCCCTTTTTTGGACACGTGAGACCGCATGGGTCTAGGCTAGGGAGAGAAGGCCACAGTGGTTGAGGTGCTTCGAGGATCTGGACTTGGCTCAATAAGCTTCACTTGGTTTGCTCCGATCAGGCAGCCTGGGCCCAATGCCAGGTGGCTTGACAGGCTGGTGACACCACACCCAAGCCTTAGGCAGCAGGGAACAGAGGGATGGGAAAGGATCAGCACCTATTCTGGAGAGAGGAAGCCAATGAAAATAGAACTTTTCAATTCTGCTTCTAATTTTCCTACCCAGGCTGTTTTAAATCAGGTTCTGCCCTAATGAAAACGATCTGAACTCTTCTGCAACCTCTTCTCCCCATTGGTTTGTTTTTCAAATCTTTTTGTCTTTGTTTGGACAGATCTCTAAGAAACCAAGACACCTTTCCATAGGTGGTGCCTCCACGCCCATCCCAACATGCTTCATCTCTCTGATTGCCATTCTCCCTCAAAACTCAATGCGAAGTCTCCCAGGGCTGCACTTTGTCCTTCTAGTTTGACGTTTCCTCCTCCCAATGTCGCGAATGCTCAGTACACTTACAGGAGATGTTGCTGAACAGGAGAATAGTCACCTGGACTGAAAGGCTGGGGTTCGGGGAGGGACGAGGGTGTGAATGCTGATGACAAGACCTGGAGTGAGACTTCCGGGGCACATTGCTATGTTTGCTCTCTAGAGATGGGTCGAACCGTTTTTATCTTTTAAAAACCAGGAGATTAAAAAATTGCATTCCAGTGTTAGATTTATATGCTTAAGAGATTATCTGAAATTCCTACTTGGTCTCCAGCAGAGAAAAACACTTGAACGGAGTTGACAGACAAATGTCTGTGTTTTTTTCTTTCTATTTCCGGTTTAGAACTGCGAAGTGATTGCTTTTCACCCCATTGCTCCTGCTCAAAAGTTATGCTATAACAGAATTCGGGTTATAGAAAATTTCTTACAACCCTTATATTCTTTATGACTGAAATTTGCGTTTTCCTCATGACCAGTGTCTCCCAGCTTGATCACTTGTGTTCCCTGCTGTTATATTAACTTGGAATTATAGGTAGCAAAGCAAAGAGAAAGCATTAGGAGCACCCATTTGTTTCTTAGGAGAAGTTGCCCCATCTGCTACTTGCTTGTGGATCAAGAGGTGGAATCCTTGTCCTAGGAGTGTTTTGTTTCTTGGGTGCTGGTTACAGAAGTGAATCAAAAGCTGAAGGGATTTTTAATGGCCAGCAGTTCTCTCTGCTGGCCATTTTGGCAAGACCTAGGACCTAATGCTCCCTAGGTACCCTGGGTGGAACATGAGACCAAAATCAGTAGTGCCAGCATCCCTCAGGGCCAGATGTCTCTAATACCATGTCGTGGCCTTTGCCCTGCCTGCTTCTAAAAGTAGAGAAATTCCTTCTTCGGGAGCCTGAGGCAGACATAAGTCACACCCAGCCCAGAGGGAGCTGAGCTCCAGGCCCTGCATTTTGCCAAGCCTCAGAATTCTCAGCACTAATGCTTCCTTTCTACCTCTAGCTCAGAAGGCCCAGCTGCCCTCTCTCCCTCCAGCCTGCGAGTTCTGAAGTTGGCAAGCAGGGGTGGAGAAGGCATGAGAAGTGGGCTGGAAGGATGAGCTCACCCCTTTCCTGGGTGGAATTTTAGTGCTAAATCTTCCTGATTTCTGGGCTCGTAACACCCTCCTGACTCCATCTTTGTTCACCGACCATCTGCATCAGACAGATTAGAGAAGGGAAACAACATTCCTGCCTCGACAGCTCCATCCTTTCTTCCAGGGGGCTTGCTGTTCCCTCACCTTCTTTGGGTCCTAGATCTGCCTAGGACATAAAAGGGAGGGGTTTGAGT